GCTTCACTGAGTTATGCAAGCCCCTTCGCCACGACAAGGCAGTGATCCATGAAGGGGTTATTGAACACAGCCCATGTTTAACCTGTAGAACTAGTTTTCTGTCATGCCTACTAAAATTTCTTGAGTAAGAAAAAAGAGAAAGAAGGAACCACAACTCATTGTGTTTTATGACTGTAAAAGGTGCAGACCACATACCCATCTCCTTCATGCTTGACGGGTTCAACAATAATATAAGGTTGGGTCTGTGTTCATGAGAAATAATCTCATTCAAGGCACCTTTCCCATCATGCTTAATTCAGAATAAATATCTGCATCATCTTTCACAATTCATTTGAATCAGAAATAGTTTTTGTAGAATCCTGGATTTATGCATTTCTATTATTTAAATCCTGTAATTGTAACGGTCCTTGGAAGGCACCTTTAAGCTGTATAAACAATTGTAAATAAAAATACCATAATTATTACTGAAAAGCAAACCAATTTCTAGGATCCTCTTCACAAGATGGTGATAATGGTCCTCCAGGGAGCAAGAAGGAGGAACCTACCTGAGGCGGCTAGTTGGCTGATAGAAGTCCATTCATGGGTCTACGAGGCTGAGTCTTACTTCCATTATGATCTGATTGAATGTGGTTTCCCAGATAGTTGTAGTCTTAAAATATTTCCACAATTTGCATATGGAATAATTTTTGAAATAACATGACTGCTTTCCACAATTGTAGTTACATACGGTATATTATACATCTGTTACAGATACACACATATACACATTTTCCTGTTCTTTTCTTAAAAGGTAGAAGAATTATATGAAGCTTACAGCATCCAGTGTAGACTACGAGATGGTGCTTCAAATATGAGACATGCTTTTTCCTTGTCTCCTTCCACTAAAGCATCAAGAGAGAGCCTGGTAGAACTCTACAAAAATCTCCAAGAATGTACAGAGGTACAGCTCTTTTTGCATTTGTTGCTTCTACTTTAGGTTAGATGTTAAAAGTCATGGAATCTGGTTTGAGAATAATATTACATTTATATTCCACATCCCGAATGAGATTGCTTTGAACTTCATACCATTCATGTTGGTTCGATCCCAGAGAGTTTGCAGTGAGTTCAATACTGAGTTGGGGTTCTTCCAGATGGACAGCTCTCAGTGCTACCAGTCAGAAACCATGGCGCAACTATTCCTTTTTTTCCTTTCTTTCTTAACAGATTTTTCTTTTTTCTGTAAGAAAAGAGAATGGGAGAAGTGGAAGGACAGTTTGTAGGGGAAACAGGTTATTAATGAAAGGTGAAATATACTAGATTCCTTAAACTTCTGTGAATGAGACAGGAGCAATTGTCTAAAAAAGCTTTCTTTGGAAGTAACCTGCATGTTTATATCAATCTAACTATTATAGTTACCTTCACCCTTGGGCACTGTATTTTGATAACATTTTTGAGAAATGTTAGAGATAAAGTACTTTTCTTCTTAGAGAATCATAGCCTCTACAAATAGATTTAATTAAGTCTGAATCTGTGTTGTAGATGTACAGTACTCGATATTGCCTGGGAAAGGTAAAACAGAGGAAGCATTTCTGAAGCTGTTTAAGGGGCATGCCAGCAAAAAGAAAGCAAAACTATTTGAATAGCTTAAAAAAACTTTCCAGGATATTTTTTTAACAAGTGTTTTACTTAACTGCCAATATGATGTGTTAAATGATAATGAAATGGTTTACAGTACTGTACTTCCATGAAAAGCCATATCTCTGTTTTTGGTTGTGGATCAACCAACTGTTCTCTTTTGTGCCCTCATACCTAGAGTGAGTGAAATCAAGTGACCAATAATCATGTTGAGAGATTGTAAATCTCAGGTCCTTTTAATGCTAGAGTACACTAAGTGTCCCTGCTCTGTATTTATCTTTCAGGATATGTGTTTGATTGAGGGGACCCTTGAAGTACATTTGGGGGAGTTTCACTTGAAGATGAAAGGTGAGCTGAATTGTTGAAACACTTGGGAGGAGCTGATATATGACATTATTAGTTATGAAGAATAAATCATGGATTCAGAAAGAGTCGCTACACACATCTCTGCCCAAACATAACGAAAGGTGGTACTCAAACTGCGGTGTTTCCCAATTAGACTTTTATTATGGAACTTCCTTGGCTTCTTTATGGATTCCAGTTTGTGCTGTCTTCATTTTGTTTTCTGAGAACTTCTTCCAAATTTTGTCTTACCAAAAAAAACCTGTTAAGGAGGAAAAATGGGAATATCTTCACAATGTCTGATAATAACTAGTGCTAGAAGCTGTTCATCTGGAAACATCCACAGGCTTCAGTTTTCTTTATGGCTGTGACTGAAGAATGCAATCTTCAGACCCATTCTCCTTCCTCTGCCTGCCACGTATTCTCCTGATTTTAATTTTTTAGCCTTTTTTAAGACCTCAGTTATCTTTCTCCAAATATGAAAGTGTTGAACTATCACCTGTGTCTTGAATTGAGAGACCCATGCAAGATTATGTTGCCTAATGTGTTGGGCAAACCAAATCTGTGAGGGACTTCTTTAGTTCAGGTTTGAATCCACTATGCAAAGACAAATTGTAAAGATCTGATACATTGTGGTTTGTCAAAACTAGCCTTACTTATTCTAGGCTCCAATTTAAGCAGAGGATCTGGGACTTAGATATTCAGTTCAACAGAGCTAAATTTTTCCATGCTTATTATTATTATTAACCCTGTCTCTGATTCTTCCTAACCATTTTTTCAGAATCGTGCATACTCTGTATAGGAAGATTTTTTTCTCTGCACTGTGTTGAAGCATTACCTATCAGGGCAACAACCAGAAGATATTATACTCTCCCATCTGAAGATTGTACCTGTGTATGTTTAAGCATAGACGTTGAATCATGTCTTATTAACACGTCCAGTATATTCATATTAATGATCAGAATTCATAAGCCTAATTATTAGGAATTTTAATTTCCCTCATGATGAGATCACTTTTAAAAAAATGTCCAATTTTTGGATGTGTCCAAGGGTGGTGGTGAAATTTCTATCTGTAGCATTAGAAAGCAACTGGTGCCTCCCTCACAGTTTTGATTGACTTAACTTTATGTCATTTTTATGCATGCTTTTTCATTATTCTGTCTGTTTTAATGTATGTTGGTTTGGTCTCAGACCATAATGCAATAATATGAATAGTTGCTTAATTGTCATAATCTAAGTTTGCCTTGTGGCTAAGTAACCTTTACAGCCCTAATGGTTGCTCAGGTTGCTGGGTTAGAATCATGAAGATGTACACACCCATTCACACAACCTGAGCATATGTAGGTTCACACAATATATGGGAGTAACTCACACAGTCACATATGGCATCTCCTTCATTGCAGCAACCTTGAAAAGGCTCACTGAGAGAAAGGGGAGAGCAATGATGCTTCTTTTTCCCTCCCAATAACCCACTGCAGACAACTGATTTTCTAATGAATTTAATGGCAGCAGGAAACCAGAAATCTATTATTACCTAGCCGACTGCTTGTGTCTGTCAACTAACTTGTGAGAAAAATGGGTGGGACTCTCTGCAGCTCTGTGGGGTACATCGTTTGTGGTTGATCGACACTTGCATCTCCATATTGTTCATCTTTTTAAGAAAAAAACATAATTATTAAAATCTGTATTTCTTCAGCCTAGTTGTTTTTCCCACCTTCCTTCTTTGGCCATGTGAGATTCTGTGTGTCTAATGAAAATGGACTCTGGTGCACTAAAGGTTATTGATTGATTGACAGACTGACTGATTGATTGATTGGATTTTTATCCCATCTTTATTTTTTGGTCAGTTCAAGGCATACCTAATGCTCCTGCCTCATAATTTCCCCACAACAACAACTCTGTGAGGTAGGTTGGGCTGAGAGAGAATGATTGGCCCAAAGTCACCCAGTCAGCTTTCATGTGTAAATGGAAGATCTCACAGTCTCCTGGTTTCTAGCCCAGCATCTTAGCCACTACACCAAACTGGCTCTCTTAGTAGAGGGTGGAAGGAGAATGAGTCCAAAGATTGCATTCTTCAGTCACAGCCATAATGAAAGCTGAAGACTGTGGATGCTTCCAGATGAACAGTTTCTAGCACAAGTAATTAACAGACATTATGGAGCTTATATCATTTTATTATTGTTTAAGCTGCCACAGTAATCTTTGTGGTCTTTCAGTTATGTGAGTGCAACTTCTCTGTGGAAAATAGCACATTGATTGGCAAGCAATCGGTGCTCAGATTGTCTTTAGAGCTATCATTATCTTTCCTAACTACTTCTGCTGGACCTTTTGTGAGTAATTTCCTAGCATCAAACTAGTCCGGATGCAAACCTCAGTTCGATCATTCCAGCTTCAAACTATTTGTTCATATTAGTGCTTCATACGTGTATAGGCCTTTCTTCAAGTGTTAAAATAAACTTGTTATTTTCCTAGTGCAGATGGGAGCAGAGTGGCACAAAAATGAAAAGTGGGTTGCTAAAACCAGTAGGTGAAGATCAAGCTACACATTATAGAAGGATCTATTTAACTTTCTCTTGCCCCCCTTGTGTCTGCATGTGTGTGTGTGTGTGTGTGGGGGGGGGAATGGAGAGGAGAGGAGAGAGAGGAGAGATGGGCTGAGTCAGAAGGGAGTGACAATGAATATTGCCCCCATTTTTATTTTCTCTTTATTAGGAAGCTGGAAAAATTGGGAGGAGAAAAGGCTGAACATAATCTTCTCATCAGCCCTTTTCTGCTTCTGACGGCAACATGCAGTGACTTCTTTTCAGTAAAAATATTGAGTAGGTAGTTACTATACTGTTGGGCCCAATTTGTCCAAGCGGATGACTATGGACACATGCTCACATCTCAAATTCTCCAATCAACAATCCATAGCTCTTTCAGGAACATTCCAGTGATGATCTTGATCCTGCCCATCCATCTTAATTGTTGTCTTCTCGTCCTTCCAATGCCTTGCCAAGCATTTTTTTTCTAGTCCATCATCCACTCTTACAACATTCTTACAATAGTTTCTACTGTCTGAATGCCACCTCAAAGGAGTAGTCAGTCCATATTTTTTCCAGGACTGATTGATTGGTTCTTCTTGCAGTCCTTGTTACTCTTAATAACCATTCCCAAATTCAAAAACTTTCAGATTTCCACTGGAAAGACTATTCTCATCTTGGTTGTCATAGAAAGACCCTTAATTTTCATAATCTTGTCCCGTTTATTCCCATTGTTAAATCTTTCAATCCTGCCATTTAACAATACAAGTTAAACACATAAAGGGGCTATAAAGGTAGTCCTCACTTAACAACGGTAATTGAGACTGCAACTCCATTGCTAAGCAACGTGGTCCTAAAGCGCAATGTCATATGACCACCCCAACTTAGAAAGGTAGTTCCAGTTGCCGTTGTTAAGTAAATCCTGTGTGGTTGTTAGGCACAACATCATGTGATGGCCATTTGCCACCTCCTGCTGACTTTCCCACTGACTTTGCTTGTTGGAAGCCAGCTGTGAAGGTCACAAATGGTAATCGTGACCACAGGGATGCCATGACGGCTGCAACTACAAGGACAAGTTGTAAATCTCCTTGTTCACCATTGTTGTAACTTCTCTGTTCTGAACTACTGTTTCTCCCGACTCAGTTCTTACAGTAGCTTCTTGTTCATTGTAGAACTTTCACAGAGAAATAATTAGGTGTTCTGCACCCCTGTTAGCCTTTCACATTGGAATGTGATCAGCATAATCCAAGGCTTTTCCATAGCCAATAAAGCAAAGGCAACTTAAAAAAAAACACCTCACTCTTTCTACTATATATTTTAAGTTGCCTTGTATCTCTCTGCCTTTTCTGAAACCTGCCTGTTCATCTGGCATTTATATGCCTCTTGTTTTTCATAAGACTGTAAGCAAGACTTTCCTTGTGTGAGGAATTTGTATAATGGCTGGGTAATTTGCACATTTTTCTCCAGTCCCTACGCAATATAGTCTTACTCCATAGCACTTTAACTGCCTCTTCTTCTGGAGTTTAAATAATTCATTTGTGTGTGGTGCTTTTCTATTGCCTTCCATACTTCACTTTTTAGTAAGTTACTTCTTGATATAGTCTCTGTCTTCCGATATTTCTGTCATTCCATTATTCCATTGATAAAGAATTTTAGTATAGTCTTTTCATATTTCTTTAATCTCCATTGCCTCTGTTTGATCCCATTTGATTAGTCCTGTCTTAGCTGTTAATTTTCCTATGGTTTCTCTGATCTCCTGTGTTATTTTCAACTATTTTTGATAGTTGAAGGTGAAATAACATGAGATATCTGACGGACCACTTATCTCTAATCATTTCTGCCCACCTGGTATGTTCTGGCAGAATGGGTGCGGTCCAGGTCCCCTCTATTAAATGTTGTCATTTTGTGGGTCTGAGGAAACAGGTCTTCTCTGCTGTGGACCCCACCCTCTGGAACAGCGTCCTCCCAGAGATACATATGGCACCCACTCTCCTGGGGTTCCAGAAAGTTCTTAAACCTGGCTTTGGTCCCAGGCCTGAGGTTAATGTATAGTTACGTTTGGGGGGGG